CTGGTATTAGAAGCATTTAACTCTTCTGCAAGGCTCCTATTTATTGGGTAACTTTTGGTTTTGAGTACTCTCAGATGTTCTTGTAACTGAGCACTGTGATACATGAAATACTAACAGTATTAATATAAATCTATTTTTCTTGTAGCCCTCGTTCCAGGGTTGAGACTGTGTAATACTGTTAACGCTAATGGCACCATTTGGAGTTCTCCATTATCCCCTCCTCCAAACCAGTAAGCATTTCATTTCGTCATACCGAGAACATTAGTCTTGCTCTGAAAAATAACAAAAAAAAATCCACCCAAAATGTATTCCTCACAAAATGCCAGAAATCCCACACATTCTGCATCATCTGACAGTAAATAACCCTCCCAGTGTTTGCAGACTCCTGCTCTGCATTGAGTCTTTCACGCTCTTTCCATTTCAGGTGAGGTGTCTGCAGAAGGCCCTCTCCTTCAAACCAGGTTTGTTCAACATCAAATACATCAAATTACACTGAAGAGGTATAGAACACTTAACACCCCCAACTGTTTACCCAACATAAAAATTTATGTAACCTGACTCCATATCCTACTTCTTTCTGTCTGTATTTTTATTTGCTTGCTCCAGTGGATTTGTCTGACTTAGAAGAAATGAGCTAACAAGGTAAACATGGACTTGAAGATTATGCCAGTAAGGTTTGGACTTTGAAAGCATTTCCCATATCTGCTTATCTTTCACTGTGAAACATTCCCCAAAGGAACAGGCATAAATACAGAAACTACTTCATCTTAAAACACTCTTCGAAATTTAACAGCAAATGTCTAGGTCTAAAATAAAATTTGCTTTTACATATTCAGCCTCTTTAAAAAACTTTCTTGTAGCCTATTTGTTACTGTTACTCACATTAGTTACCCTGTAATGAATATTAAGTAAGTCCCACAGGAAATTATGGGCATGGGATTCAAGTAAGATTTCCTGCCTGTTAATCCCTTGGGGAGTGACACCTTCCTGATGTTGTCTGCTAGAGAGAACCTACTTGTCTGAAAAGAAATTGTACAGGGTAAGAGTGGTAGTCAGTGTTTATCACAGTAATAGATTTATTTGTTTAGTCTAGTAATAGATTTGGTAGAGACAAGAGAGAATTGGGGGGGGGAAGCCACCCAGGTATACTCCCCATCTCCAGTAATACCAGACATGGTAAAAAAAACCAAACAAACCAACCACAAAACAAACAAACAAAAAAAAACAAAACAAACAAACAAACCAACCAGAAAAACACCCCCCCCAAAAAAAAACACAATAAAAACAAAAAAAATCCAAAACAACTAAAACAAAACCAAATAGAAAAATAACCCAAACAAAAAAAAAATCACCACAATAAAAAAAAAACCCTCCAGAACAACAAAAACAAAACCCAAAACAAAAACAAACAAAAAAACCCCACAAAAAACACAGAACCCACATTATATATTATATTATATCATATTATATCATATTATATCATATTATATCATATTATATCATATTATATCATATTATATCATATTATATCATATTATATCATATTATATCATATTATATCATATTATATCATATTATATCATATTATATCATATTATATCATATTATATCATATTATATCATATCATATCATATCATATCATATTATATCATATCATATCATATTATATCATATCATATCATATTATATCATATTATATTATCTGAAGGAAAGGCTTCTAAAGGCATTATGAGAATTATACCACATTCCACACTAGGAATGTGAGAATTTAAAAAGATTATAATGCATGGTCTTCTTATTTAAGTATTTGAAAGGAATGACAAGCATGGATACACAGTTAACTTTCTAAAAATATAAACAGTAAAAAACAAACCTGTATTCTAATTTTTATAACATGTGCATGTGGGTTGCACAAGAGTTAGTACTGTACACTCCCAAAACTGCTGAAAGACAATTTTGACAATTGCTTGTGAACATTTCTATGAGAAAACTAAGGCTTTCCCATATTTCACATAATACTTCTTACTCTGAAACACAGAGCCATCTGAAAACTTCACAACTTCACAATAACATTTACCCAAAAGGAAACTCAAAAACTTTCCATAAGCCACCATTTCCTACGACAGACAAATTCCTAAGAGGAAAGATCACCCTCATCCATTATGTTAAACTCAGTAGAGCTTATATTTTAAAGCTTAACAAGGAAAATAAATGTCTTTCACATTTTAATGCTCTACCATCACTTCTGAGATACTCATTCTGAACACTAATAGTCACTCTGGTAATAAATCTTTCAAAACAGCCTGGATTATTACAATATAGCACAATACATTTCACTCTCCATCTCTAATTATATTGGTAACTATGAAGCCAAAACAGCTCTGAAAGAACATAGACTTGCCTCTTGATACATTGATCATACTAAAAAAAATCCAACCTAAATATTGAGACATTGTATACCACACAAAGATCGCAACTAATTTTTTTATATGACAGTACTTCAAATTCTGGCAGCATTCTGAGAGTTGAAATGCTCTTAATTTTAATAATTACCTTTAACAATTAAAGGTAAGAAACTTGGTACAGTAAGAGAAAGACATTTCTACTGTAGCCTCAAAGTCTATCACAGAACATAAAGAATTTGACAAAAAAAAAGATCACCTTTCTTTAGGCCAAACCAACATCTACACCAGCCTGAGCTGCCATTTTCTAAATAATCGTGCAAAACAGCTACAGTGCTAAAAATATGTTGTTACTCTAACTCTGAGATACTCTCTCCAGAGATAGGACTTCCTGATAGGAGATTCAAATTCATAGGAAGTGCCCTTCCTGTGTTTTCTAGACTGCTAAGCTAATGAGTTTGTTTTGAACTGCCTTGGAGAAAAAAAAAGGAACAGACTGATTGGTGTTCACTGCTTTAAAGTGAAGCAACCTTCTATATAAAGTGTAGCAGGCCACTATCTTATCTATTCTGGCATGATACTGTAGCAAGTTTGATTTCCCCTGGATTTCTGAAGGAATTAGTACAGGAATTGTCTTGAGACCCTGTCAGTTGGTGACTTCTATTTTACTCTGCATGTCACCCTGTTAGAAATTGATGGGAATGTTTAAGAAGGAACTGATCATAGAAATGGAATCCCACTTTTAAGCAAGTTATTTTCATATAATGAAAGTGAACAGCTCTGGCCATGCACATACAACTATGCCAAACCTAACTGGCTCACTTCAACTATATAAACACACCTTACAAATTCAGTACTCTTTAGCTTGAATGGCATCCACAGAACGTATATTCCATAGTATAACCCAAGGAAAAAAAAATTTCCTCATTTATGATTAGGACTTCCAGAGACTAAGGCAAAGTGATAAAGAAAAAATTGTGGTCACTATGCTGTGTACTTTTGCACAACGCAAAAACACAGAGACAAAAGGCTGAAACAGACACAGAAATGCAGGTGGTTTTTTTTTCATACTAATTACACACTTGATTTTGCTTCATGAGGGATGAGAGGAAACTAGACAACTAGCACACAGTCAGACCAGGAAGTTCTACAGTCTCCTACACACTGGGACAAGCTTTTCAATCTTTTTTGAGTGCATAAAAAACCCCACCTACCATTAAAGAACATTAACAATCCAGATTTTGACAGGCAAGATCATTCTGACTTCCCACTGCATAAATCCAAGCCCCTGCAAAACTCTGCTTATTGCAACATTCCATCAGGAACAAAGTGATGACCATCTGCAGTGACTCTGGCAGATGGAAATGGTGAATGCTTCTTTAACCCAGTAATAAACTTTTTCTTTCCTTCTTCTAAATTAGATACCTAAAATACGTACAGCAGTTGAATTCTAATAAAAAAACTTCATATATGTAAACACAAAGGATTTTCATCTTAACACAAGTTCATTTCATCCTGTCTTCCCCACTTAACAAAAGCTTATTTCTTTATCATGAATGCTCCTGCTCTTTGACAGTTTCTGATGTTTAAGAATAAAAGCACTTTTAAGTAATCTCTCTGATGAAGTATTATTTTCATTCAGGACTACTAAATTATTATTTTCATCCAGGATTACTAAACTACCATTAAATACTCTTTCACAAGATTGAAGAAGGTTGAGCCCTCCACTTTTGAGGGATCTTAACTCTCCACCTGAGAACACTGCTGATAATGGCTCAAAAGTAAAAATTAGAACAAGCTCTGAGGAACTGTTATCAGTCTGAGCCACTCTTGTGTCACCACCTGTGATACCACCCCTGTGACAAGAAGTGGGACATACAGTCATGTAATTCTGTGCCTTACTACGTACTCAAGTAAATGTTAAGCATTTCACTCTTTCATGGAATGCTTCAATTATTTTTATTTATCTTTCCTTCAAAATGTAAGCAGAAACAAAAATTGGGAATAAGGCTAGTCAGAGATGAACCTTTCAAACATTTCAAAGGTATTTTGTCCTTTTAAACTTCAACACCATCAACCTCAAAATGATCTGACTGTTCCCTTGTCTTGTGTTGAAAATTTTATTTCACAGTTTTCACAGATGTTCAGACAAAAACAGGTATCCCCACCAACTTTGCTAATAATTTGAGTTTTGTCCACATGTAATGTTAATGGCAAACCTTAAGCCATAATGATCTGCTACAGATCAGAAGAATGGCTTAACTGTGCTCTGGCCAGAGCATGACCTGGGAAAAAAAGACAACGGGTACCTAAAGTCACAAGTCAAAATAGCAGCTTGCCATTAAACCTCTGCCCTGTGACACCACCACCCCCTCCCCCCCAAGGCATCTTAAGAGCAGCTCTTTTGATAAAAGCAGCAGATATGTGTTGTTAAAGTAGCCAGAAGGGCAGAGAACTAAAGGCAGGACTGGGAAATGACCTTTTCTTAGGAGCTTTGAGACTAATTGGGAGATACATAATTTTTTTGAGACCTTCCATGTATTTCCTAAAATAAAAATACAAAAAGCTTCAGCTACAGAAATAAATATACATCTCACCTTGTTATGTTCATGCTTGTAGGGGATTTTGAGGGTATCCATGGCTCTGATCATGGCCTGCATTGCTGTAAATATGTTCTGGTACACCAGTTTTGTAAAGCCTCTTTTGTCTTCATCAGAGTAACCTGATCCATGAATGATTCTCATCTGCTTGATAAATGTGCTTTTGCCACTCTCTCCTGTCCCTGCAAGACAAATAAGTAGGATACGCTTTAGCCACTGGACACAAACATGACTTTTCCTGTACAATGCTGACAGCTGGTTTAGCGCAGGGCTGAGCAGTGCCAAGTGGTGCTTAAAAGTAACTACTAGGACCGGTTCAGAATCAAATACTAGCATCAGTATCAACTGAACTACCACTGAATTAAAACTTGTGCATTTATTTAACAACTAAATGAATGAGAAAAAACAACAAAAAAAACCCCACACCACTCCAAAATACACACGACTGTGTATTTTAAAGATCTTTAATTCTTGGAGACAAATGTCCAAAACATCTAACTTCAGGTGGTTATTATGGAACATTTTCTTCTAAAAATTCAGGAAGAATTAAGAAAAAAAAACCTTTCAGGACATTACGGTAGGGAGCGTACAACCAATACATACACTTGCGTTTTGGTGCTGTGGGTTTTGGTGTGCTTTGTTTTTTACAGGTTTTTGTTTTGTTTTTAAAGCAAATATTGTAACAATTACAGTCCTGCAAAATTTAACCTCAGAAACATGCAATATCAGTGCTAATTAAAATTTGGCTCATATTCATTAATGGGAAGTCACTCCTTCCTTCCTTTAAATGTCTTTGCATCTTTGTGCTTTGTACTAAAAGTAGTTAGTTACTGAACATTTCTGACTATTTGTCAATTTAAAATTAAGATCTGCCTGTTGGAAACTTAATGCAAGATACATCAAACAGTTTTTCTTTGCTCCAATTCAGTGATCTCATCCTCCTTGACCAGAAGAGCTTATCTATAAAATTCCTGTATTTGCTTAAGAGGAGGAGCTGAAATTCAGAATGAGCAGCTGCACAGCCACATAAATCCTGTATTCACCCAGCTACTCAGCCCTGCATGAAACTAAATGCATGTACCAGGGTGCACTGCTCAACACTATGCTTTTCAGCCTTTCAGCCTGCGTTTTATTCAAATAATTTCTGTTAAGCTTTAATGCCTCACACCATGATACTCTTGTCCCAGGACAAAGGCAGCCTTATGCCCCTTGGTTCAGGCATCTTGTCAGAGAAGTCTGTTTCACAGCAGTGCAGTGCATGGTTAAAGGAGCAACCCTGAAGCATTTCTGAAATAGCACACACTGCAGAAATCTAAGCTGGAAGCCTCTAAAAGCTTTTTCCTTTACCAAGACCATCATTTTGAAGCCTTCAGTTCCAGTTCCCACATGCGCAAAACAAACTTCTAACACAAGTATTACTTACACACGCAATCAAGCACTCTGTTACATACTGACCAATTTTTCTCCGGGGGGGGGGGGGGCGGGGAGGAAGTGGTTATTACTGTGATGAATAAGAACTTGCTCTGAAGCTGAAATCAGAGACCAAGCCTGGCTCCACCCTCAGCCTTCACAGCTCTTCCTCAGCCTGTACTACAGTTAGGAGCACACAGGCCACCTCTGCACGGGTTGGCTTACCCACCAGGAAGAATATGCCCTACACAACCTGACAAATTCACACTAACCAGGCACAGGTCTCTGAAGAAAGACGTGCTCTGAGACATGCTGGGTCAATGATATCTGCCTGAATTCCAGCTCATCGGAATCAGAGAGGAGATATTTACAATTCTGCAATCTCCCAGCCTGGAAAAATCACTACTTAACACTGTACAAATTACAAACCTATACAATACAGAACTATTAAACTAAGGCTACCCTTAAGACCACCATAGTTTCTCTTTCTTCTGAAACCTACGACACAAACATGTATGTACTTACATATGAAGTGACCTACCACATATTTTTCAGTAATTCCGTAATGCTGGTCCAGCTTTTCTAAGGAAAAGTCACACATTTAGCACAAAGATCTGTTCAACATGAATCTTTAAAGCCAGAAAGATCTATGAGGTGCCTTTTAGACATGATTACGCTTTTACTGAAGATTCTGCTTTAACTAATCCTAAGAAAATAATTTCCAGACACCTCTGAATCATTAGAATACAAACCGACTTCCAGTTTTGGTCCTAACACTTCTCCCGACAGGAAATCCAGATTTCCTCAAAATCTCCAAATGCAAATTTAGCATAAAGATAGGAAGAACACACTTGTATTATCTACTCTGTTCTAAAACCTGAAGCTTCTCATTCTTTCAATTCTTTATTGGGAGTTTAGGTACCCACATGATAATCACACAGAAGAAAACACGGTGGTAAAGCAATCTGTGTTACATTAAAGACTGTATTTCAGACTGCACCTTGAAAGTGATGTTTACAAAACTACAGTATACAGGAAAAGGAACTTAAATCCAAAAGAAGAATCTAAGACTTAAGTCTGTGTCTTATTCAGCTTCGTGGTTCTGTAACTGGCTGTCACTGTGCTAAGATTTTGTCAGCCAAAGACCAGTAACAAATTGTAGTTGGGGATCTAAAGACACAGATGCATACATACTCTAGTATTTCTGATTTTTTTCAAATACATACATATATGAAAAATACATTGTATATACATATAACTATCCATACATATACAACAATGGTATCTTTCTTTTAGAGGGCCATCTCAGTTTCCTCAAGTCTGTCCCTCCCAGTTCAGTGCTTAAAAGTACTTTGTGCCCACTGGCAGACAAATTTTGTTTCAGCCAGGAGCAACGATGAGAACAATTCTAGTCCTCCTTCACTGCATGGAGCAACACATGTGCAGCAGTCTGAAAGCATCCTTTAAAAGAAGGAAATAATGGAGAACTTCCAGCACACAATGTACAAAAAGAGGATAAAATAACATGAATGACAGAATAACAATATTTACAGGAGTGCCTAGACATTACCAAGAAATGAAGATGTTTCATTTTCAGCACAATATACAACTCAGAGAACCTTCACACTGATAGCTCCTCTTAAGATTGTAACGATCAAGGGTAGGAAGTATTTTTATACTGCTGCTGACATAAAAGCAGACAAAGAAATTTCAAGTATGGCTTTAATAAAAAAGAAACAACAAAAAGAAACAAAACAACAAAAACAGTGCATCAAATCTTTAAAAACATCCTGTTCACGTGAAAGCTTTAATAGTGATAGCCATTTGAAAGCATGGTAGTGGAGACCTGCTCGCACACTCCTCCCCAGACCAAAGAAACAAAGCAGTGCTATTTAGTATCAGAGAAATGGGGGGGGGGGGGGGGGATGTGTAACTAATTGCCAAGGTTAGTTAAGCAAAGCTGCAATCATTACAGCACTCCTGGTGGAGACTGGGATTTTAACTCAGTGTTACAGTACTAAGTCAAACCTAGATTTGGTTATTTTTATATATTTTTTGCCTTTTAAAATCTCATGACTGGCATTATAAGAAGACCAAGACATTATCTGATACAATACCAACTGTGCGTTCTATAGCCTCATCTATTACAGAGCAGGTTAAGAAATACAACTTGGAAATATGTGACTAAAATCTTATTTGTCACATACGAAACAAAACGAATACTGGGTAACAGGACTCTTGAGTGGGCTTCTTCACCTTTGAAATTGGATTAAAAAAATATAGATCTATCTGTCCTGAGAAGATGTGAACGTCCTATGCCTTCTACTATGGCTTTGCTGCTTCTATGACCATCACCCCAGCAGTACCTCCAGCTGATATAAGGAGAAAGGAAACATGAAATGGCAACAGAGGGAATCAGCAGAACAGACCACGGCGGGAGAAAACTATAATGAGATCAATCTTCTGCTAGCTGGCATTGCACACTTAAATTAGTTGAGACTTAGATCAGTTCTCTGAAGCCTGATGAGTAATTGCTTCCTGTCTGTCAGAGGACAGTTGAAGGCCACACAACATACCTTAATCTTTAATAATAACAATAATACCACCCACTCCTTCCTCATCTTTTAAAAACGGTGACGTACAAACCAAACCAAACCAACAAACCCACCATGATCCTAATAAAGCCCTTGGGTGGTACTTTGGAGTCAATGCTGTGGCCGGGGGGGAATAAACCAACACAACCTAATCCCCCTGCCTCCCCCCTAAAAAAAAAAAACAACCAGCCAACAAACAAAATGAAACAAACAAAACCAAAGAACTTCCTGATTCAAGGAGACAGTATGGCTTACTCTTTTTTTCCTTTCCAGATTAAAAAAACCCAACCCAACTGATGAATGAAAAGAATTAACTGCCTTCTAAAAATAACAATTGCTCAGTGGTGAATTTCCATTCAAGCATGGCACAGAGGATTATCAACACTTGTATGTAAGAGCTTTGCATCTTACAAGCTGTCAAATCTCTGAAGACCTCCCCAAGAGTTTTATCTTCAAATGGTGATAGCAAGAACTGTTACTGCATCATCAGTAATTTTACAACCACAGATCTGAAAGTCCCCCAAGCAGTACTGCCTCCAAAATGAGAACCAGGAAGGAAGTCAATTGCTTATATGCAGCAGTAATCCTTTACAGGTGTGCTACCACACACATACGTACATATCATGCACAGTTTATTGTATTATTACTCCTGGTGCATGTTCTGCAAAAATGTTGAAACACAGTGTGTGGCTTCAGAACTTATATAGTAGCTAACAAGGAAGACATAAGAGACTAATTTAAAAATATTACAAGACTAGAAGCCTATGCTAACAAACTTCTTTCACATGGGTGTGCAATGCATACTTGTTTTCACAATTCTCTGCATTGTAACTTAGATAAAATGAAGTATAGTGTCTTCAGTGATCAAATACAAGGCTGTTTTTAAACTAAAACAACAAAGATGCCCTTTTATAACTAAAATGTACACTGGCATCTGTTTAGAAAATAAATGCTGCTAAACTATGACTGACTCTCATGCTTATTCCCATGTTTGACCTATGAAAAGGCAAGGGAAAAAAAAGGTTGTATTGTAGTGTTTGAAATGTCCTACTGAAATTAGATAGAAAAAGGACATTCTTAATATGTAAGGAAAAAAAACCCAGCCCACAAAAGCTATGGAAACCAACTACCCTGTCAGTTACTATCTACATATATTTACTAAGAACCATTAAATCAAC